GCTGTGATAAAGGTGCCCTCTGGTCTGTGGCATGAAAGAGGCTGACTCTGCCTCCAAAGAAGGCATCTGACACCGTACTTCTCCAGATTAAAGGAGACCTTGAGCCTTTACATAGAGAAATTAGCTAACCCACAGGAGAACTGAGAGGACTTGCTGTGTTTTCTGTTGCTAAGCAGTATTTTTCATTCTACTATGGACCTGCAGCACCTTAGTTTTTATGTCCCTTTGTTTTACTGTGGTGAATCTTATTAAAACTGGATTCATACTTATACCAGCATAGTACTGGAGGCAAGTAACACTGACAAAACTTGAGCCAGGTAAATGTGAGGTGTTCACTTAAATAACCCTGAGAATATATATTAAACAGACCAGTCACATAAAATGTTTTCTTTCAAAAGAAAATCAATGTTTCTAAATTACAATTCTGCTTTAAAAAGAGAACTATGAAACCAACTGTGAAACCACACATTTCTTTCTCAATGAGTAGCAAATAAAATGTGCTTGACTAAGAAATCCAAAGTATTTATGTTTTTCCTTTTTTTTTTTTCTAACCCAACAGTTTGTTAATCTTACTTGGACTCTGATCACAAGAAGCCTTACACAAGCCCTGCTAACTGCAGAAGTTGTTTTTTCATGTTGGACTTCACACACTTATTTTTCATTAGAAATAGAAGTACTGATGTTGTTAGTAATGCCCGAAGAGTAGAGTGCAAAGTACAGTCCGGTTATGTTGGCCAGGTAGTGAATAAAATTAAATTGTGTTTTGATCAGTGAAATCACCACACATCACTGAATACACAGGAGATGTATTTTGTACATGCTGTTTTTACACAGATACTTTTCAAGACAAAATAATATTTTTATAGGTCAGGACAAAAGAATAAATAGAGGGGCAGTGCAATTTTTAATTGTTTTTCTTCCTTTATACATGGATATTTTGTTTATATTCAGTCAAAGCAAAACGTGATAAATTTTTACCACTCTTTATTATTGAAGTTCAGCTTTCAAAACTGAACTCTAGTTTTTAATGCCAATAGAATTAGTCTCTGTAGACTACATGTCTACTATGAGCATTATCTTACAATAATCCAGTCTTAGAATCATGGTTTTGGTTGGAAAAGACCTTTAAGTTTCTCAAGTCCAACCATTGAACCAGCCCTAAGTCCACCACTAGACCATGTCCCTAAGCATGACATCTACTCGTCTTTTAAACACCTCCAGGGATGGTGACTCTACCACTTCCCTGGGCAGCCTGTTCCAGTGCTTGACAACCCTTTCAGTAAAGGAACTTCTCCTAATATCCAACCTAAACCTCCCCTGGCACAGCTTGAGGCCATTACCCCTTGTCCTTCCACTAGCTATGAGGGAGAAGAGACAGACCCCCACCTTGCTACACCCTCCTTTCAGATAGTTATAGAGAGCAATAAGGTCTCCCATCAGTCTCCTCCAGACTATGAACAACCCCTGCTCCCTCAGCCGCTCCTCGTAAGACTTGGGCTCTAAACCCTTATTCCGCTTTGTTGCTCTTCTCTGGACGTGCTCCAGCATCTCAATCTCCTTTTTGTAGTGAGGGGCCCAAAACTGAACACAGTGTTCGAGATGTGGCCTCACCAGTGCCGAGTACAGGGAAAGGATCTTGAGGCATTAGTCAGAGTGCAGATCCTTCTGGTGCTTGGTTCCTTTTCACTCTCTGTTGCTCTGAAAATTACTCCTGCTAACAGAAAGTAAGAGTAAGTCTTACCAGGTGCTGCTGGTTTACCTTATATTTATCAAAGGACCTTGAAGTTGTCTGAAAAAAGGCAGTTTTTCAAATAGGGCTTAGGGATTTCCTGTCATTTTATTCCACCTACATGTCTGCACAAGAAATGCTGATTTTGTTAGGTAGATCAGGAATTATGCTGTATTGGTTCTGTGAATTTTCAACTTTCCTCTGGCCCATCTTAGTGACTGTTTACAGTAACTGGTGTAATGTAGGAATAGGTGGGATATCTCAATTGTGCCAGAGCTTTTCACCTCTATTATTTTGTCATGGAAAAAGTAGAGAAATGCAATTGAGGTGAAATTACTTGTGTTGTGAAACAGATACAAATTAACCGAAAAACATTTCCAAAACGTTCTTATTGATAGCTTGCTGCCAGAGAGACGTGTTAGCTGGGCTGCTGCAGATGCTGTCCAGGGACTAAAAGTAGGAAAACCTGTTTGCTAGTAATCATTTGGATTACAGTGAATATGGATACAGCAGTTGTTGATTACTGGTTTTCAAGCTCTTTTTTGGATGGCTTTTAATATAAATATGAAATCACTAACATGAAATTGAGTAAGGAGAAGTGAGCAGTACTGAACTTAAAAAAGGAAAAAAACCCAAATGCACATCACAGTGCTATCAGAGATGGGGAAAAAGAAAAAAGACTGCAAAGGCAGCTCTGGATGCTAGTAATAGAAATACCGTAATTTTTCAAGTGTAAGTGTAAGGCACTGGGGTGGCTTGTCTGTGTATTCTTATGTAGCGCCATCACTGAAGATCTTTAAGCATAGGTTAGAGAAACTTTTTTTCAGAAGCAGGTAAGTTTTATGAGTAATCCTGCCTCAGAGGAAGGGCAAGGGCTAGGTAGTGCTGGCCATTTTTTTTTTCCTTACATGGATCTATCATGCCACAGAATCTAAATAGGAGGCATTAAACTCAAGAGCAGGCAGCAGAGTTATGCCCAAAGACCCATCTGAAATCTCAGCTGGGTCTTAGCTCACCTTTGAACAATTCAGTATGTCCCAGTAAGATGTGAGCCAAACTCTCTTAGGTATGTGGCTTCCTACGTGCTCATGTAGCGAGCACTACATCTGCACCCTTCAGTATTGTGCAGAGTGAGCAGAACTATTGCAAGCATTGTCAGGCAGTGGAGAAACTCCAGCAGGAACTGCAGGAGAGAGTGTCTTTCCCTCCAGATGTCAGTGGCAGAGACACACATCTATCGCTTCAGGAAGGGTTGCTTTCTAGGTCGAGGAATCTGTTTATGTTAGACACGTAGAACAATGTGGAGACCTTCCTAAGCGTGAGCATACTACAGGGCAGAGTATTTCATTAGATAGGCATCAAATTCAAACTGTAGAACAGTTCTTGAAATTATGTCCAGTTTTATAGCAGCCATAGTTTTATATAAACAGAGTTGCAAAGCAGCTGACCTTCATAGTAACTGTGCTTTTTGCTATGTGCTCTCAACCAGTCCCTTGTAGTGTGGAGATGAGGGCGAAGGAACAGCCTGCCAAGCATGACATGGAAAAGTTTAATTCTAAGGGAGAGTGTGGAAAAACTTTGTGTGGTTATAAAAAGTAAAAGCGAATGAAAACAGCAAATTTGGCAGCAAGGGAACTAATACAACAGCAGATGAATATTGCTATTAAACCTTAGGGTTTGCTTCTGGGGTTTACACGTTGCAAAACTGCAGCTGACACTGTCTTAACAGCAGCCTGTAGTTGGTACAGCTATGGCTTGGTCCTTTCAGCACCACGTGTGCATAATGCTTGCACAGGTGGCTGACACTCACTTGTTCTGTTTTCTTCCCCTACTACATAGAAACTGCTTCCCAAAACAGACGGCAGCCCAGGTGACTCTAAGAGCTATTTCCACCCATTTTGATGGCACCAACTCTTCTTCCTTGAAGAACATTTACTTTCTGCTCTTCGACAGTGAAAGTATTGGCATCTATGTGCAAGAAATGGCCAAGCTAGACACTAAGTAGCAACGGCACCCAAATGAAACTTTATTTTTCAACAAACTTGAGTAGCATTAAAAGCATTAGAGGTGGGTTTTATTTTTTCAATGTGATGAGGAGGGGGAGTGGTAGTAGTGTGATGTGTTGTGACTTGATGAAGAGCTGTGACTAGAGATGAGAGGGGTTTAGTCTGATTTCTTTATGCTATCAGCATCCTCTAGCCATTTATATCACCTTAAGCAATTGAGTTACCATCTCTTTTCAGGAGTTTGTTTAGTGTCCCTTGTTTCTTTAGTTTAGAAGTTTTTAAAGAGTAACTTCATTTTAGATTTGTAGTGATGAATTTTCCACACACATACACACACACACACTTTAAAGAAAGCTCTTAAAAATGTTCTGCTCTCTTTTCCCCTCCCTGGAGGGCAGATGGTAAACTTCTGCCCTGAGCCCACAGAGAGGGGAAAAGGATTTTAGAAGTGATGCATGAGGAGCTTCTGTTTTGCTTTTAACTCACAATAACCTCTGTAATTACTGAGAATATTTCATGGTGATTTTGTTTGTTTTATAAGAAAAAAAGAAAAAGATGTGTCGAGTGTGGTCATTGTTATAAACCTTAATTTTGCTCTGGGAATTTCTTACCTTAAAAAAGAAAAAAGGAAAAAAAAAAGCAGCAGCTGTAATTAAGTGCTTGCTGTGTCACACTTAGCACACAACTACCCAGCTCTTCTGGCTGAAGTATAGTGCTATGATGAATTAAAGCTGCTGTGGAGATGTTGGCACAAAGCTGCATTATATTCTGTTGAGTTCCAGGATTACCATAGCCTTTTCAAAGCTTTAGGCAGGCTTTCCCCGGGCAGTGCTGTGAGCCGTTCTTCCTGCATGCTGCAGAGCAGATTCCAGATCTGGGAGAGGCAGGTACTTTTTATAAGAACAAGAGCAGAGGAAGTCAGGGAAAAAAAACACATAACAAACAAACCACAGAGATCTGGAAAACCACAGTGTTTATTGTTACAAACCAAGATAAAACAAGTATCTTCCTCAGAGCTATCTGAACAGGAAAGTAAAAGAAACATTCCTTCCCTGGTTTTTATAATGAGAACTTCCATGCACTTCATTTGGAAAGTGCCTCCATTCACTTTACAGCAAGTCAGGACACCCCTGTAATGCAGCACGCTGACGGGTGGCTTTAAGAGGTGCTGCAGGGGACAGTATCAGTCTGTCCAAGCAATGAAAGTGCACCCTTGCCCCTCTCCCAGGTGCTGTATTCCTTGCTGGTTTGTTACTGACCCCCACTTAAGAAGGCATTGTCTGTCCCATCGTCTTCCAGCTCTTGGAGATAAACAGGTCCCGGCTCTTAGCAATGGTCACCAAGAGACGTCCCACGTAGTAACCGTTTACTTGGCCTACGCCATCATTCCTGCCCATTGAAAGCA